CCAATTACCGAAGTCCATATACTTTTATTTAATGATTACTTAAATAATCTCTCTTCCAAACTAATTGTCCTTTTTTATTTTAAATTTATTTCTAATTAATTTTTGTTTTTTCATTTTTTAAGGTAGACAAATATATTTTTTCTTATTTTAACCATATCATTATGCATTCACTTTAATTAATAATTCAATCACAAAAAATATATATATCTTTTATTTTTTATTTTTTTATTTAGGAGTATTATAGATAAATATAAATATTGTTCCCAAATCCTTAATTTAGAAAAAAAAAATCAAAAAAACAAAGACAATTTTTTTTAAGATATAGGGGGTACATATTATTAGCAATTTTAAAATGTATTGTGAGAGAGTTTATAAGAGATTCTTAGAGGTTATATTTAAGAGCTTCTATGTAGGGGAGATAATTCTTAATGAAAAATCAAGAAAGGGTTCCTGGAGAAATTTGGGAGCTAGTGAGTAAGTGCTTTTTTTCTTCTTCCGTAGTTTTCTTTTTCATTTTAAGGTTTTTCATGTTAAATTGGTGTGTGTAATTCTTCTTTACTTTTCTATAAAAACGTTGAGGGAAATTGTGTTGATTAAATACTCCTAACAATTTTATAGGAATTCATATTTCAACATACAAGTTTCTACCAAAACTAACGTTTAACAGGCTCAAATAATCTATTTCAATTAGAATCCTTTTACAAGTATGTGGTCATTGTCGAGTTAGATTCAAGGTGTTATTTTAATTTCTCTTATGTCAGGTGAGCTCTCTTCACAGCATAGTTAGCGACCTATATATACTAATTTTAACAAAAGAAGAAGCTAGCGATTTATTCTTATATTTCTTAAACAAGTAAAAGATGAAAGATGAGGCGATTCGTCATTGATATTCAAATGAAGGGTACAAAAAATTAAAGAATTGCATAACTAATTTATAAGGGTAATTAGGCGAAGTTATATAGTAATTGATGAAGAGGGTGTTCCAAGATGCAAAAAGTTTCAACCAAGGTGGCAAAGATGGGAATTAATTCTACTGATAAAATTAATCCATCATCATGTTGAATCAGTTGAAAAGGAAAAATGATTGGTATATTTTTCAGTTTAATATATTTTTAATTATTAAAATATAATATAAATACAGTTAATTTAGTCAATTTCTACATATTATATGCATAATTTCATCTTTAAGTTTATCTACCTTTTATTTCATATTGAATATTGATGATTTTTTCATGAGTGTATTAATTATATAGTGTATTAAACCAAAAGGTGTACCAATTAGTGTCTGCTAAAAACACACACACATGCGAATGTTATGAGTATCTTAGTAATATATAAATCATTAAAAAAATCACAATGACAAAAATGTAAGTTAGCATGTTAATTTAATTTTAATGGAAATAAAACCTTTTAAATTTAAGTCACATATTATGCGGTTAGATGTCTTAAAAAATAAGAAAGAGCTGCTTTTCATCATGCTACTCATGATCGCAAAAAAGTGACCATGAAAGGTTGATAGGAGCAACCATCCATATCCATATATATATATATATATATATTGGAGTTGCAATGTACTAATCTTGAATGGTAGTTATCCATCAGAAAAAAAATCTTGAATAGTTAGTGCCTTGAATGATTAGGGTTTACGGGAAAGGGACGCCCTGCGCTGATCGTTCAATGGAAACGAAAATGCACAAGGATTCGAATTGTGTATACAGGGGCAAAGGATAGAAATTGTTTATATTGAAACTTAATTAAGCATACTAGTTATAATTTAATTAATCCCATAAGTACTATATTTATGGAATCATTGATGAAGATTGCAGGCTTTGATGGAACAGAATTATTTCTATAGACAATTCTATTTAATGATCGGATCTATATATAGATCATTAAGCAAAAACACATGGCCAATGTACTGCTCATTTTGTGAGCCATTGACCTTTGGCAAAAACCTACTTTTAGTTCTTTACCTTAATAAATTTGTAAGTTTTAGTCATTCACCTTATATTATAATACTTTTAGCCATTTACCTTAATAAGTTTATAGGTTTTACCCCCTTACCTTATACTATAACACTTTTAACTCATCACCTATACGAATTGAAGAAAATAACTTTCATTTAACATCAGGTTATAACGTTTTGTTAGTTATGTTAGTTGACTATCAGCATTCGTTAACATTTTATTATAGAAAACATGAAATGTAAATTCAATTTTATTTTTTAGTTCCATTAATGAAATGCTAATGGAACGCTAACAGTTAACTAACAGAATATTATATCTTAACCTTAAATAAGCGTTATTTTCTTTAATTCGTATATGTAAGGAATTAAAAGTGTTATACTATAAGGTGAGAAACTAAAATTTATGAACTTATTAAGGGAAAGAGTTAAAAGTGTCATTGTATAAAGTAAAAAGTTAAACCTTATAAACTTGTTAAGGTAAATAGTTAAAAGTAGGTTTTAACCTTAACCCTTTGTGAAACAATTTGGTTTCAGTCTTTTCCACTCTCTTCTATGAACATTGATTTCATATTCTGAGCAATGAAGTTTTTCTCTGTACATAAAAGTATATCTGTTGCTTTATCTCCCCATATAATCTCTTTCCTAAAAGGTTACAAAGGAATTGATTGTATTTTGTTTTTTACGTTCTTGCTGGGTATTGTTGTTTTTTAGCCATGTTAGTTGTTATGGGACATGTGTAGAGACAGTTTAATTTTGGCTTGGAGCGACTATTCTTATACTCATTATTATAGATTCATTTGATTTGCTGATAAAAAAATATATATCTTTCCTAATAGAAATCTAGTGGAAGTCCTAATTTGTGAAGTAACTATAGAATGAGGCAGGAAACCATATATAGCGCGCATCAAGGACAGAACACATACCAAAAAAATTTTAGAACTCCTTACCCCATATATGTGATATAAATTGTAATTGGTATATTATTAATAGTTTTTCTAATTTGTGTGTTAAGGGTGCAATTATTGTACTAAATATTGATTCATATTGAAAGAAAAAAAGAAGAAAAAAAGAAAGAAAAAAGTGTTATTCAGTTTGTGTAATTTAGACTGTACAATGAAACTCTTGAAAAAAATATAAGTTGATTTTTATTTAATCAACTATCTAATTAAAATAATTCACTTGATATTGGTAGTAAAATTAAAGTCAATTTTTATATTTTTTTAATATGAATTAATGTAAAAAATGTGCACTATATAATTGTAACCTTATTCACTAAAGATACAAGTTAAAAAAAATGTTTTATTGATTGGCCCTAAGAATTTGTTTTCTAACTTACACCCTAGAAAGGATTTTTTTGCCCCCGTCCGTTTTGTGCACAATAATAATGTTTGTTTTATTGTTATATATATGGCACATATGGCGTACCACGCATGACTCTATGGCACATAATGTCTAGTTGAATAATTTCTCCGTTTCTGAGATCAGTAGCTAGGCTAAGGCTAGAGTTGCATGCAATTGGGGGTTGAGGTTTAATCCTCAATAATTGACCGGGTTTCCACTGTACTTATCACATGCTCTTAGTAAAACCACCACTTGCTCCCTGCAGTTTTCCTGGGTCGAAGCCACCTGATCTCTACTAATTTGTCACTTTCATCCCAGCCGTATTTAGTCTACTTTTACCCTAGATTAATATATAATCAGTAAAAGAAAACTGATTCATGCATGTATTCTAGATCATACCTCGACTTAAGACACACTCAAGAACTAGCTAGATTATAAACATTTAGTCCTTGTCGAAACCCAAAAAAAAAAAAAAAAAAAAAAAAAAAAAATAATAATACAAACAAACAAACGTAGATAAATTTAAGTAAATGTATAGTTTAGTAACCTAACTAGCTAGGTTTACTAAACTCTATAGGCAAAAAATTAACATTCATATGTAATAAAGTATAATAATGATATACTATTTTTTAAAAAGAAAATGATTGGTATATCATCTGATTTAACATATCTTTCAATATTTATCTAATTTAATTAGTTTTTACATCTTATATATATAGTTACATTTTTAAATTTGTCTGTATTTAATTTTATATACAAAAATAATAATTTTTTAATAAATATATTGTATAGTATGTTAAACTAAATTGTATATTAATCAATGTCTTTTTTTTAATAGTAGAGCAAGTGGTTCAAGCCTATAGGAAAGGGGGAAGGGGAGGGAGAACACAGGTTTACACTTATGTCATGAGGGTGAGGGAGCCTTTGTGTGCTAACTAGTGACAAAGTTACTTTAACTACCAATGCTCTAATAATAATGTTGTTTGTTAATTTAGGCTTACTGGCTATACAAATAAAATTATGTATATGTATAATTTAGTACTATTGGTGCGGAGCACTTTAATTATGTTTTCTAAGCTTGCTGGAGTACATGTTATCTGCTCCAATAAAGTATATCCTTAGTCACGTAGCATAAATATGCATATATATATATATATATCAACTACCTACATATTGAATATCACAGTTATCACTATCGAAATTAGTGACAAATTAATAACAAATAAAAGAAGTTAATCATACGTAACATTATGAAAATCGACGGGATCCTATAACAAAGAGACCCTTTGGTATAAGCAAGAAATAACATCAAAGTATCGTAGTCAATGTTAGAGTTGGACAATGACTGTTTAGAGCAATGAAGGGAAGTATAAGGAACAGGCACCCTCCGAAGGAGACAACACAAAGCACGGACC